TGTACCATTATTACGACTACTTCATTGGGTGCTCCAAATCATTGATCTTATGACAGATTAACCTAAGATATATCAATACATATATAGATCGTTGTAGAGTAATAATTAGTAAGCTAGTAGAATATTATTACTAGTGTAAGAAGTTTGATACTTACTAGGTGTCTTACGTTTTTGTCCTTGTGCCGTACTAAGATCAGTTCTTAAATACTTGCACTACACTCGCATTTCATAAGACAGTTAATCGTCTTTTCGCCTCGAAACGATTTTAAACATCATCTACGTTATTTTGCGTCCTCCCTCCTCTCGTACGTTTGCCCTTGCTCTTCAACACATTTTACTTTTTTTTTTTAACAACGATTTCCCAGTCTATTTTCCCCGCGAAATCACAGATTGTGTAACGTCTTCAAGCGACATTGTGTCGCATAACTGCTGATCCAACAAAAAGCTTCTAGTTCGCAGTCGTCTACGATTCCTGGCGGGTTATGACGTCAAAAACGTGGCGCTGTGCCTTCGGTTAATCACGACGAACGATCAGACATGACCAGATTAAAAAGGTAACAGACAAGCGAGTGACCGGAGAGTGGGCTTATGCGCCATGTCAGATCGAGGATGTTTGGTCCAAACACGTGATCTCCGTCACATAAAATAAAGAGGAAGAAGAGAAAAAAAAATCTTGCGTTTAACGTTAAGTTCATGTTTCAGTAAGAAATGTGTTATTTGTATGTAATTAAATACTTATATTATATATAGACCTATGCATGAGAACAAAAATTGCTTTTATTATATGTAAGCATATTACTGAATAAGGCAAAAAGAATTAAGTAGATTTTACAGTGTTAAGCCTGCTTTTGCTGTAAAACATCTGAAATATTGACTCTGATTTCTACTTGAACATTAACCATTGAGAAGACACTACAGAGTAATCGATTGCGGCTCAGATTGAGAAATTGTAGAGCCGAGTTCGAAATCCAGTTGAGTTCATTATTTTCACTTACGTGCTAATAACATTGGGAAATATATGAATCCATCTCTTTTCCCACTGCTATAAATAAAGAGCAGGGCAGGCTGGGTTCTATAGCCTTGAGTGGTCACTGGCCTAGGACAAGGAAAAAAATAGTACGAGCAATAAAAATCTTGTCGGTATTAAATAACCCATTGAAGTTGATAAACAAAACAAAAAAACCCAAACCTAGCAATTTTGAATGTCAGTTTAAGATGACATCTACTTGAAAAACTGACGTCACACAGTATTTTCCTATGTCGCACACAGACACGCGTGTGTATATGTGTATGTGCGTACGAGATATATATATATAGAGAGAAATACTGATGCATACGTTGATCTTATAACAGAACGATAGCGAACGACTCACGTAGAACACAGAATTTACACTTTACTCGGTGCTCGTTTTTTGTGGTACTGTGCCAGACTAAACTAAGTATATATCGCGACGCCTTCAGTGATTTAACCCTGACTGTTTAAAACTTGCTATATTATAGGAGAAGAATGCTCAGTATCGATGATACTAGCTATTTTCAGTTATTTTCATTATATTTTGTCTGAAGTGACAGAAAAACTGAGTCACGCTGACTATTTCTGCTGTAGTGAATTTCACTCTCACTGAGTGGCTCGCAACTAGAGATTGTACCGCACAAAGTTAAGCTAAGAAAATGTAAAAAGAGATTAAATATTCAGGTCTTTGTAAAGTAGTGGTTAGGAAGCTTGTCTCACAGACTGTGGTTAATGTATTAAGTTCAATCCTCGTCTAGTGCCTCTTTTATGACGAAAGGATGAGACCAAAATGCAAATTACAAATCGGAAGTACAGAAATTTAAATATCTGGGAAATGTTCTAACAGAAGGAAAGTGCGGTACTGAGATCCGATCTGCATTCCAAAAGCTAAGCAGAGTATCAAGGGACAGAAAAATTTCGTTAGAAACAAAAAAAAAAAAAAAATTGTGTACTGAACTGTTACGTGATATCTGTCCTCTTGTATGGAAGCTAATGCTGGACAATCTCCTCAAAGATGAAGAGATTTGAAGCAGCAGAAATGTGGGTCTACAGAATGATGCTAAGGATACAACGAGATTTTGGAATCATAAGGAAAATTATACTTAATATCAGGAAAAGACAATAGAAATTTCTTGGGCACGTAAAGAGGAAGGAGGGCTTGAAAAACATGATACTCACAGGACAGATTGAGGGACAGAAGAAAGCAGCGCGTAACTTACTTGATGAGCTTGAGTAAATAGATAGTAAAACAGGGTTTGGGAGAAATAACAAAGAGACAAAACATATTAAGAGCTACAAGAGACAGGAAGATGTGGAAGGCCATGATCGCCTACGTCCTGAAGGGACACGGCACATAAAAGGAGAGCCTTAGTGAATAACAATTTGGATTGGTTGCTGAATCACCTCATCATTACGACTGTAGTGAGTTCGATCCTCGTTCGATGCCTCACATTTTGTATTTCGATGCCAGACGAAGTTAAGCTTAATAAGTATGTACGTACGTTGTTACGACTGTCAGAGAAACGAACAGTGAGATTCACACATACACACACATACACTGAATGAAAGAGAGAAGAAAAAAAAAGAGAGAGAGAATAAAATGAAGGCGAAATAAAAGTAGTAAAACAAAGAAAGACGCCAAGAAATAAGGGATTTTTATAGACGCGGGAAAAAAAGGCAAATGAGTGTTGCAGACGTTTATAATATTCTATAAGCAGAACATTCGCACTCTGATACCACCTCCTTTCTGTTTCACCTCCCGCTTTCCCTCTTCCTTTATATAGCGTTTCCTGGCCGACTGGGACCCTGATGTGTATGCGCGTGTGTCGACGATTGTAAAGGTGTGATAAATAGACTTTGTTTGGGACGCTAACAGACACCACCCCTCACAAATGAATAAATAAATAAATAAATAAATAAGAAAAATTAATTTCGTAACGGTATTTACAAAGCTTAGCATAGTTTGGCCCAAGGATACATGTATGTAATGATATATGGGAATATACGGGAATCACAAATTCTTTATCTTTATTATTTGAGAATTGCCACTATTTCTTCGGAAAGATAATCAAATAGTTTCCCGTTGCCTTCTCTACAGTTTTGCATTCAAAGTAATACATCGTCTAGACTGGCTTACGGCCACATCACGTTGAAACATTGGTTCCTCTACGATCACTGAAGTTAATCAACGTCGTGCCTGATCAATTCTTATATGGGTGACCGCTTGGGAATACCAGATGCGGTAAGCTTGGATATGTGGGTGGTGTAATAGATAATGATTCAGAATTGGTAATCGGAGTGCCGAGTTTCAATTCTAGTTGGGTTCGTTATATTCACTTACGTGCAAATACCCTTGTGAAAGGTATGAATTCTTATCTTCTCCACCAGCTATCGATTAATTAGTAAAACTTGAATCACTAAATCATTATTATCTAATAATAATAATAATAATAATAATAATAATAATAATAATAAAAAACTTACAATCTAAAAATATTTTCTGGCTTTAAATAATCTGCAAAGGGTTAATCTGTAAAAAACGAATCAACCAATCAATCATCCTCGGTTGCTTGACGCGCAAAGTTAGTAAGTGCAGTGCTTTTCTTCTGCTTTTCCCTTTCCATTATTAGTATTTAATGGTCACCCATTACTGAACGGTGAGTCGAACACTCAATCCACATTACTTAAAAAGCCTTTACTTTATACCGGCACGAGGCTACAATTGTGGGATTTCTAGAGAGATGTCTGCAATTGGAATTATCGAACTCTTGACTTGTCGATAATGCCTCTGAGAAAGGCATCAGTCATTTCTTTCCCCACCCCAGCTATGGGTTAAATAGATGAGTACAATGAGTAATCTGGTATTGAATGATTGCGAATTTCAGAGAAGGAAAATTCCGGATTCAAATCCATGGAAAAGGCAATGGAAAACCACTTCACCGACTTTTCCAAAATGTTATGGCAATTCACAGATATTAAATAAAGAAGTTGTTGAGATACGTGACCACTCTCGTTCTAAAAGGACATGCCATTATAACTATAAATAGTCTCTCTCCCCTATATATATATATATATATATATATATATATATTCAAGAAAGAAATTCGAATTACTAACACAAAAACAGAGAATGTCTCATATCGAGAATATTTAACATTGAACATAAGAAAAAAATTTAATTATTTTTAATAATATGTGGAAATCTCCGCTTTTACTTGAAGACGGTCGCGAGACCAGAAACACGTGTAGTAAAATTATGTAAAACAAACCATAATATTTTTTCTAAATAAATCCACATTACAACCAAAAACGTTTGCGGCACCTCTCTTCTTTTTAATATACATACTTTTCTCTCGTTGGAACCACTACAACCTCTTTCTTTTATACACACACACATATATATATATATATATATATATATATATATATATATATATATATATATTTGCTAATATCTATTTATCAGTTTATTGATCGATAAATAAACACTGTGGTAAGAATGATGGAGACATCTCGCTTTAGCAGACTATCTGAGGCAATTTATTTTTGATTTTTATTAAGCCTGGCTTAATCTGGTACAAGTTCACATAAGGGAATTGACGTTACAAATATTGTGTTTTGCAATCCCTTCAAATGATTAGTTTCTACTTTACTGCATACCTTGAAAATCAGCATTCAAAATCCTGGTTTCTATCTGAATTCGAAAAACATCAAGTGTGAAACATGCAAGTATTAAGCCCCATAGCAGTTCTCAAGTCACATTATTTCTAGCTAAAAAATATGAGAAAGCTCAGAATTAACACGGCTCTATTGTCCACTGGGTATTTGTCTGTCTCTACGAGTAGAAGTTTCGAATGAGGTCCTGTCCGGCATCAGCCACACCACCTTTTTTTTTATTTTTATTTTTATTTTTTTTGTTTTATATATACATCTCCAACCATTTATTTATAGCAGAGAAGAAGAGAGGCCGGAGAAATCACATTTGCTGATGGTACACCTTCTTCATCTTTCCCTGAACGAAAGAACGGCCCGCTGATCGATACGGCTGTTCTAGTCGTTCGCCTGTTCGATTTTGCGTATATTTGATCAATCTGTATTTATCATTTCCCTAACACCCGTCCGCTCCCCGTTCCAGGCGTCCACCGCCTGCCACCTTGTCCTGTTCATCCACCTTCACCTGTTCCCCCTTCCTTTCCCCATACCAGCCCTTTTGGTTTTATTTCATTTTTGTTTACCTCCTTTCCTCTTCCAACCAGTCTGTGATATTGTTGTTCTCGGTTTAGTGTCTACTCTGGCGAGAGAGAGTTGGGGAAGGAAAGAAAGAAGGAGGGGTCACTCATGTCCAAAGTTTATTATTATTATTATTATTATTATTATTATTACAGTTAAAATGAAGAGAGAGAAATGCAAAGAGTGTACTGTAGTGATGTTGACGATGGTATTAGACCTGCTATTCATCATCATCATCATCGTCATCTTTATTCATATTATTATTTAAGTGAAGAGAGAAAAGAACATCATGTAGTGATGATGATGATGATGATGATGATGATGATGATGATGATGGAATTGGCGTCATCATTATCATAATCATCTTGTTATTATGAAAAGGGAGAGAGAAAAGGGCGGAGACTGTTTTGTGGTGAGAGGGGGAAAGGATAGAGAATATATTTTATTTGCATTGTGTTTAATCTCTCAGTTATTATTATTATTATTATTATTGAAAGATTTAGTTCAGAGTGTATTGTAGTAGTAGTCGTAGTCGTAGTAGTAGTAGTAGTAGTAGTAGTAGTAGTAGGAATGGTGGTGGACCTGCTTTTCATCATCATCATATTATTAAGGGAGATTGAAAAATGAGATGCCTTTACAAAAGTGGTCTTTGTAATTGTTCTAGACAAACTATAATAATAATAATAATAATAATAATAATAATAACAACAACAACAACAGCAACAACAACAATAATAATAATAATGATTATTATTATTATTATTATTATTATTATTATTATTCTCCGTTTCGATCATTTTATGAAGTATAGAAATCTCTAGAATATTACTTGGAAACAGTTAATAATAATAATAATAAATCTGAAATTCGAGAAAGGACTCATATTGTGTAGACTATATGAGGTGCTGGTGTCTGAGAGGATACGATTTTTTTCAGTCTCGGCCGCCAGTTAATATTGGTGTGAATACTCAATAATAATAATAATAATAATAATAATAATAATAATAATGAGAACATCAATAATTCCAGTTGCAATTGGAGTCCTTGGGTTGATTGGAAAATGTTCCAATAGACGCATCGACGGGATTCCTGGTAGCCCATGTGTTAAAGAAATGCGAAAAACTGGACTCACAAGTACAGCTAACCCATTACGAAGACCTTTATCTTTGTAAAATGTTTGTGATCATAGTTTTCTTGTTTGTTTTTGTTTTTTGTTTTCTTTCACAAAAATGATTAGCCGAAAGTATCATGAAGCCATTTCTGACTTTAAGTCTCTGGTTGGGACCCGGAAGGAAATCTGTATAAAACAGAATTCAAAGGAAGAAATAATAATAATAATAATAATAATAATAATAATAATAATAATAATAATATGTGAGCCATTAAGGTGACAACTGTGCCAGTCCTGAAAAGACTAAAAAAGGTGGAAATTTAAGAGACGATAAATGAGATGATTGAGGAGACATGCTGTCACATAAGCTGTAGAACAAGCCACCAGTTACTATTGGTATAATCACTCAATGAATAATAATAATAATAATAATAATCATAATAATAATAAAATGTGGCATATGAGTACATCAACAATCCCTGTTGTAGTTGGGGCCCTCAGATTGATTGAAAAAGATACAATAGACTCATTGAATGGATTCCTGGTAGCCACTGCCTTAAAGAAATACAAATAAATTGTTCTCACGAGCACAGCCCAGACCTCACGATGGGCTTTATCCATGTAAAATATGTGTGTGTGTGGTTTTTTTTTTTTTTTTTGATTGTTCAGTGGAAAATGTAATGATGCCATTTCTGACCTTAGGTCTCTGGGCGGGACCCGCAAAGAAATGAGTACACACTAGAAATCAAAGGAAATAATAATAATAATAATAATAATAATAATAATAATAATAATAATAATAATAATACCCAGAAACGATTGATCATCTTGTAGCAGGTTGTACGGTGTTGGCACCCACTGAATATAAAACCCGACATGACAGAGTGGGCCAATATCTGCACTGGAAAATCTGCAACTTCTACGGAAAGAAAACTGAAAGAAACTGGTATGAACACCACCCAGACCCGGTTACGGAGATAGGACCTGTTACAATTCTATGGGACTACACAATACACACTGACAGAACAATCAAGGCCAACCGCCCAGATATTGTGATTAAAGACCACAAACAAAAACGGTGCATCCTTATTGATATGGCAGTCCCTGCCGACTGCAATGTATCTTTGAAGATATTCAAAAAGTTGTCAAAGTACATGGACCTTGAAATAGAAATCGCGAAAATGTGGCATATGGGAACATCAACAATCCCTATTGTAGTTGGAGCCCTAGGACTGGTTGGAAAAGATTCCAGTAGACTAATTGAAGGGATTCCTGGAAGTCCATGCCTCAAGGAGATACAGAAAATTGTTCTGTCAAGTACAGCCCACACCTTACGAAGGGCTTTATCTATGTAATTTTTTTTTTTTTTTTTTTTGTCAGTGGAAAGTGTCATAACGCCATTTCTAACCTTAGGTCCCTGGTCTTATTATTATTATTATTATTATTATTATTATTATTATTATTATTATATAAAAGCGTAAGAGTTGTGCCAGCCGTTCTGGGAAATCTCGGAGAGCCTGGGGAAAAGACTTAAAAGATGTAAAAGTTTCGGAGAAAATAAATGAGGCTACTGAGGGGATACTTGCTGTCACATAATCTGCAATGGAGATGTAACTGTTACTATATACCAAGAATATTTGATATCGTTGGGTTCCATCATTTTTATTTATTAGATATCCCACATCGTTATAATAGAAAATCTGCCAGGAATAGTGAAATGTTGTAAGAGCCTGGGCGCAAATTTACCGTGGATGATCCAGCGATCGAAACACTTTCTAAATATTTTCGCCTTAGGGAATTGTTTTCTTTTTTGATCAGAGTAGCAATTTGATCTTAATATATAAAAAATTATTTATCGTTAATCCATATATATATATATATATATATATATATATATATATATATATATATATATAAATCGTTGGGATATATATTTGAAAAACAATGAGTCACTGGCACTTTTAATATTCTCGAATATTACACCACGTCTTTGATCTGTATTGTTTTAACTGTCTATTAAAGTTCTTCAAGCTACTGGCAAAGGTCTTTGAACTCGTTTTGACAGTCCCAATGATAATGTACACGACATTTACTTGATGTCTCACAATTGTTGAAAGGTCATGATATTAGTTTTGTTGCTGCTCTTGTAATGATTGCTGTTGACCAATTAACTGTGCAAACAGTGTTACTCAAGGCTATTAGTATCCTACAAAATATCTTCATTGACACTTTTCTTGTTGATATTTCTTTTAATATTATCGATGGTAATAAAGATTATATTATTCATTTCGGAACAATACTTACTGCTGTAATAAATCACAATAGGGGGTAGCGATTATTGTTTTTATGACTTGTAACTAGTTACGATCGTACTCAAAGTGATTGTTTGAAAGAAATATGAATTATTAGCTGTGGTAAAGGTTTTACGAGTTGCTTCAGAATCGATATTCGTAATTAGTAATGTTAGGGTGAAGAATTCTCGATGGTAATTCTTATTTGATAGGGTAACAATCATAATAATTATTATTGTTATTATTGTTATGGAGATGATTTTTTAAATCAAATTAATTTGGTTATCTTTAAGTAGGGATCAACTGACAGCAGGTCTCCTCAATATTCAACCAATCTCCTCAGTGATCTATTATTACTATTATTATTGTTATTATTATTATTATTATTATTATTATTATTATTTCTACTTACCAAATTTTCAAGCCTGACATCTGGTATGAAAATGTAAATGCATTAAATTGTGCGCTGAAAACGTAGAAACATTAGACTTCTGTGTAAACATGGAAATGAATGAAATAATAATTGAAAAAGTAAGAGAACATTAAAGGAAAGAAAAAAGGAAAAGATTAAGTAGAAGAAAAGGATTAAAGAAAGATAAGATGGAGAAGAAAGAAAGAGAGCAATAAGATAAAGAATAAAGATGATAAACTCAAAGAGAATAAGAACAAAACAAAGAGACGATAATAAGAATGGTTTATTAAAATTGCAATCATTTGATGACCAATTATTGTGCAATCATTGTCACTGTAATCATTTATAGAAAAGAGTCTAAACAGGAAACAAAATCAAGTCACAGGTTTTATCAGCAGTTTTCCTGAAAATAATTTATTTAGAATCCATAGAGTTCAATTTTAACCCGAGTTGATTTCATTTCTTTCTTTTTTCTTGATTTCTTCGTCTTCATTGTAGTCCGATTGCTTTTATCAACGTCATCACAGTCATTATCTTCATCAAAATATATATAAACGGGTTCCTTTCAAGATTCGAACTCCGAGAGCGGACCATGTATTCAAACATCGGCGTTACTTGCAGCAGAAGCAACAAACTTATTACAAAGTTGTTATCTATCTATCTATCTATCTATCTATCTATCTAACACCACTTATCTAAATTTGTCGTGTATTATGTGTGTACGCGCACACACTCAGACATATACTCCTCTCTCTCTCTCCTATAAGTAATTAATCGGTCTATTCAGAGTTCTAAAACTACTCAAAGTTATCTGTCATTCTTATTGTCCTCCCCCTATTTTATATATATATATATATATATATATATATATATATATATATATATATATATATATATATATATATATATATATATATATATATGTGTGTGTGTGTGTGTGTGTGTGTGTGTGTGTGTGTGTGTGTGAGAATGGAAATCAATAAATCCATGTAGCCGACATGTAGCCAAGCATCGTCGGAAGTTTTCTCAGTAGAATTATTGGTGGGTGATATTTTATTTAATTTTTACCAATGATTTAAATGCATCGACAGGGAATCAGGTTATATTGAATGTAAATATTTGTTGCTTTTAGTACTTATTATGCTGTAGACAAATAAATAATACTAACGTGTGTGTGTGCGTGTGCACACACACACACACACACATATATATATATATATATATATATATATATATATATATATATACATGTATATTAAAAAACTGTATTTTTCAGTATTGAGAACTAACGAAGGGAGTAGGAGCGCTCAAAAAATTTTGTGATTTCCACAAAACTTCATTTCGACATAGTAATCAGCAAATATGCATAGAATATCTTTGTCATTATGTTATATATATATATATATATATATATATATATATATTCAGAAAAATATAATTTCGTTTATAGTTATTAATTTTTAAGAAAGTACTAAAATTCTCTCTAGTAATCATCATTATGATTTTAACGTCTACTATAGATTTACACTCTCTTTTGTGCATCATGTAATATAGTAACATTAGTAGAATAATGGACACTACTATAACTTCTATGATGACTAAACAATAACTATTTGCACTATTACTACAGGACCTACGGTTAGTGATAAATCATGTAAGAAAAACTACAACTACTTTTGCGATTTCTGCAATCAACACCACCACAACTGCCACCACTACCCCAACCATGTTGTTGTTGTTGTTGTTGCGACCTGTCTAGTATTGTTGTTAATGTTGGATATGTTTTATTTGCATTGCCTCAGACAGTGGGATGGCTGACCATCAGAACGCTGTAGACTGGCCAGGGGAGATGGTCATGGTAAAGGTGGAGCGGAAGATGTAGATGAGGGCTGGCCACCACTGCAACCTTCACAGGTATTTTGTGGCTTGAGACCAGAATAAGAGTAATTTGTGTGTGTGTGTGTGTGTCTGTGTATGGTCGTACAGATACATATATATGTATGCGTGTGTGTAAAAATGAGCCAAATGCATTACCACGGAATAAAATGGAACCAGTCTCTGTCTTTTTCCCTCTGTCTCATATATATGTATGTATGTATGTATGTATGTATGTATGTGTGTGTGTGTGTGTGTGTGTAATAAATACATAGTCCCGTATATTCAATACATGCATATATCCGAATAAAGATATATTTGAGTATAACAAGTATATCTATAAGCAGATATCTGTGTTATGTATATATGCATCTATAGATAACTTATGTAAAATATGTTTACATACATTATGAATTTTAATCAAGATATATATATATATATATATATATATATATATATATATATATATATATATATATAAAATAATCTGAAGTCTCATCGGCCCGCCCAAGGAGCTCTTCAAAAAATCTGATGTTTAGTTATTTGGATTGAAAGTTTCCTTTAGGAAGTGGCTTGGGTCGAGACCTCTTAGAATCTTTACGTGTATATATTACAAACATTCATTCACATGCATATATATATATATATATATATATATATATATATATATATATATATATAGTAGTAGTCTCTTTTCTCCTTCTCTCTCTATCATTTCTCCATACACACAGACACAGGCACATACTCGCGCGCGCGCACACACACACACACACACATATATATATATATATATATAGAGAGAGAGAGAGAGAGAGAGATGATAAAAATATAGTTTTAAGGAATGCTATAATTATATGTTAAAGTGCTCAAAGGGATAAAATAAATATAAATGTGAACATTGAGGTCAAACCCAGCGGCGACAGTCTGTTTTATACTTAAACTCAATCCTTGGCCAATATATATATATATATATATATATATATATATATATATATATATATATATATATATATATATATATATATATATGAGAGAGATAGAGAGAGATTTCAAGGCGTTAGAAATTAAACTGCCGAGTTTAATCCACTCAGTGTTGTCGCTCATGATAGACACACTATTATTTGAATTGAAATTATCTCCCTTGAATCCATTGAATCATTGAATAATGATTTAATTATGAACATCTAAGTTCATGAATCTATTTAAATAACCATAACAATGAGTATCTCTTAGGCTTATTTGATTTTGTCCATGTAGGTAGGGTTAAAATTAGACATAGAAAGATTGCATTGCGTTAAGTGGAGAAAGACAGTTTTCCTTCTTGGGATCACTTGGGGTTCAACATCCCTGATCCTGCTATGTCCCCCACCAGATAGGCTTTCTAGCTCAGAAAAATATATATATATATATATATATATATATATATATATATATATATATATATATATATATATATATTTATTTATAAGTATAAATTACGTTATATATATATATATATATATATATATATATAACGTTATATATATATATATATATATATATATATATATATATATATATATATATATATATATATATATATATATATATATATATATATATATATATATTATATACGTAATTTCCATAAAGTGGAAATTGGAGACAACACCCAGAGGCGACTGTCTGTTGCATGCAAAACGCAATCGTCAGGCCTTATGCGTTTTTGCCTTTGCTCGGCTATTTATATATAAATCCATTGTGATTAGTCTATTGTATTGCATTGTGGTTAGTCTATTTAGGTTATTTTGGTTGGCGGTAACGGCTTCGAAATATTCTTGGGAAATATTCTGAGTGGGAATAATTGTGGACCCATAAGGTTAAGAATGTAGTGATCAAGAAGGAAACAGCATCTTGGGAGTCGGTTCCACAAAGCATTGAAAGGAATGGAATATGGGCGGTTCGCTACAATGTCCGTGGCATGGCTGTGAAGATTAGAACTGGTGTAACTAAGGACTGAAATTCGTCTGAACATTTTCCATGGAAATAGCGATAGAGCAGCGAGAAGCCTGCAACCTTTCGTCAGTAAGATATGGACAAATAGCAAGGGAATGGATATAGCCAAAAATTGTATGGTTCATATTTTCCCTGTGGCGGGGGGAGCTGCTTGCTTGCCTTGAAAACTAGTAATGGAAACCCTGTGATTACTCACTACCAATGTAGACAGACAGGGGCATACAGACATAGGTACAGATTGGTATAAAGAAATATAAATTCTATCGGATAATATACATACATAATAATGGTCAGCTTCTGTTTTTCGAACATGCCTGTCTGTAAGAGCGGCTAGCCAGTCTCTGTTGCGTAGACGCATGCTCGAACATATTTTTTGTTTATTCCAAACCCACAGGTGTAATCTGACGTGATCAATAGGGCCAGTACGCTCGAAATCGCCTTCACACACAGAGAAACAAATGCACACACACACACACACACACACACACACACACACACACACACACACACACACACACATATATATATAATTATATATATATATATATGTATATATAAGGAAGAGGTTATAGTAGTTCCAACGAGAGAAATGTGTGTATATTAAAAAGAAGAGAGATACCGCAAAAGTTTTTGGTTGTAATGTGGATTTTTTTTTAATATTATGCTTTATTTTCCATAATTTTACTACACGGGTTTCTGGACTCGCGACCTTCATCAGGTAAAGGGTGGAGATTTCCACATATTAAAAATAATTCATTTTTTTCTCCTTTTTTTCGATGCTAAATATTCTCGATATGAGACATTCTCTTTTTAATGTCACATATCGAGAATATTTAAGACACACACACAGACACACACACACACACACACACACACACATATATATATAAATATATATACCTACACGAGCAATATCCTTGATATCTCTTATTCACTTTCTTCTACTCTCCATGCATGCAAGCACACATACACACACATGTATATATTTCTGAAATGAGGTATTCTAACTATTTACACTATTTACGTTATTCGGACTGTTGTCCTCATCATTGTTGCTATATTCACGACGTTTCGGCCATTGTACGCTCCGGACTTTTTCAGGTGATTTGAATTCCGAACCTAACCAGATATGAGATTCCTGGTCAGGATAGATTACGTTACAGATCCTTCTTTGAATTTTATCAAGAATCTAGATGTACAGCACGAGCACCAAGACAGATTTCGTCCACTGGGGTAGATTATTCTAGTTCCACGTGCCATTCTCTTCCAAATATCTCAGTTTCAGTTATCTCCCTTTCGTAACTCAACTCTCCAAGTTGTAGTCAGGTATCGAACTCACAACCCTTTAGATCAAGTCACTAGATTACTTCAACCAATGCTTTTATCCAGCGACATCTGTGTGTGAACTTTGGAAGTTATGTCTCAGTTTTATTTTTTTTACCAGTGCTCATATTACAGTTTTCGTACCTTCCACTGATGTTCTCTGTCTATTATTTCAACTTCATTCCACAGGGGACAATGATCTCCTTTTTCCCTACATACATCATCAGCCATCAGCTATTTCCCATCGTGTTACGGATTTATGGTGTTCCTTCAGTCTTATCTTAAGGGGACAGCATGTTTTTCCTTTATATCTTTTGCCACGACTGCATGGGATGGCGTAGACGCAGTCCTTGATCATGTTCTCCTCTATAGGTCTTACTCAGAAGAGATTTGAAATTGCAATCACCTGAAGAAGACCGGAACGTACAACAGCCAAAACATTGTGAATATGGCAACAAATATGAGGACAAAAGTTCAAATAGTGTAATATATATATATATATATATATATATATATATATATATATATATATAATATATATATATATATATATATATATATATATATATATAT